GATAGCCTGATTTAAAAAAAAACATAGGATGGGAAAGATTATTTCAAGCCACCGTCGGTCTTCTTTGGTTAACTCTAAGGATCCCTTCCACGCAGAGCATTCTGCAGCAAAGATACTGTAACAGTGTTGTCACATGTCATCGTTAGTGGACACTGTACCCTTCCTAATAAATTATTTCGAGCTAAACCTACTTTGATGGGTTGTTATTAATTACTCTGTATTGAGAACTCACCGCAGTTCTTCTCATCACTGTTATCTCCACAGTCATCTTTGCCGTCACACCGAGTGGCCGAATGGAACAGGGCCCCATTGTCACAGGCAGAAGGAGCTGGGGGGATAGAGAGCTGGTCAGAAAATAGTCTGACTGTTATTGGGGTAGCCAACTAGTCCCTCTTTCCCACCAGGGCCTTTATTGCGAGAAACTTACAATTGGCGGGCCTGAATCGCACGTGTTTGTAATGGCAGCCAGCTTTTTAGCGCTTAATAAAAAGGTCCCGTTCCACTCTATGCGAAGCATATGGTGATGCCCATCTCTATTTTTGTATGAGCATCATAATACAAAACCAACGTCTAGCAAGTTGTACAAGCAAACAGCATATCTACAGCCATTTTTAAAGAATGTAAAGTCAAAGGTATCTGGTAGACAGGATGGGAAAGATTATTTCCATGAATGAAGGCATGAAGGGTGGTGGGGCCCTGACCCAGTGTTGACGTCACACTTCAAAGAAGCCACGTGACAAGTCTCACTGGGTCAGTCTACTGAGGAAGACCTGAGTGATGGTCGAAAGCTCTAGGTGAGAGAAATTTTGTGTTGGATCAAAAGTTTTAACTTTAAACCTGTAACTACCAACACAGATGAACTTTTATGATGATATGTACAGCCAGTCACGAGTGTACTTACGACATGACTCGTCGCTGCCATCGCTACAGTCTTCAACATCGTCACATGTAGAATATCGTGACATTTGATATTCGCCCTGACAGGGAATGTGGCTCAAGGTTGTATCGCATCCTTTTTGGGAATGTATACACTGTCCATTGCTGCATGATGTCTTGCCCTGCCGCTCGCCTGCATAAAACATATTAAGTAGAAATGTGTCGGAACAAATAACGACATATTGTAAGAAAACAATGCATATCAAGTTTTTGTGTCCAAACTTACAGCAGTGTTGTTCGTCTGAGTTGTCTCCACAATCGTCTGTACCGTCACACACTCGTGTCTCCCTGATGGTGATTCCATTTGGACACGTCTCTTCATCTGTAGTCAAGATGACAGAAAGTCAGAAGAGTATTGTCAACACATGTCCATAGAATAGAATGCAAGTGGTACATGACATGAAGCCGTACACATCTGACAACACCTTTGCTTCACATAGTCTTCACATTGAGAAATTTCGATCCATTACTTCTCCTAGATGAAGTTAATTTCAGCGATGACGTCAGGTACATAAATTTCGCGCGCAAATTCCAGACAACAATTCGCCAGTTCACGGAGGAAGGGTGTAGATCAGGTGGTTTTTGTCGTGTTCTCGGAGGTTTTCTTTTATTTTAAACCCTTTCGATTGCCTTGAAGCTTGCTTGATGCAGGTATATACCCCCCCCCCCCGTCTAGTTCGTGCCTTACCACAGTTGTTTTCATCGCTCCCATCATCACAGTCGACTATGCCGTCACAGATCACCTCATGCACGTCACAGTCACCGTCTGTGCAGACCGTCCTCTCAACTTGGGAGCAAGCTGGACGGATATAACAAAATATGTACAGGTCTATTTACAAGAGACGATCGTTGCTGACAACGTGGTGGCAGCAATTGCAGCAAAATTTTGTCGCTATACAGTCATGTAGTAGTGATCACTTACCCTGAAAAAACCTGATCTCGCTGATTTCGATGATTTCTGGCTGATTCTCACGCGGGAACTCTAGGCGCCAAAGCTGGGCTCTGGGGCTGAGAAGTCCATTTAGATCAATTTCGTTAAGTGCCACCCCTTTTGTGTTGGGGTTGTCAGTTAGATCGATTCCGTTTAGAGGTGACAGAACCCTGTTTTGTTGACCCCAATTGTGATCCACTTCGGCCCAACTTCGCCCAGTCGAGCGTAGGACTGTTACGTCGACGCTGCTGCCCTTGTACCATATATGGATCCTGGAGAGCGTCATGGGCGCCTGCAGATCAAACGTCAGCCGCCAGGAGGCCTCCTCATCTCCAGGTCTCCATGTCGTCTTGAAGTTGGCGTCCAGAACGTAGCCGGCAACCCGTCGGATGCCGTCCTCGCCCTCCCATTCGTCCGGTGTCACCCATGTAGGGTCGGTCTCCAACCAACCACCTGCCAGAAACAAAGTTCCATTAATATATGTATAAAGCCTGTGTTACACACCAGGAAAAGAGTTAACCCTACGAATCTGCGAGCTCAAAAACTTTTCAGAATACACCCGGAGCCTTCTCGATGACCATATGATATCGAGCTTGGTATCCAGTGTTTCGAGGTTGGGGCAGGTTACCTGCGGGGCTCTAATAGCTTCCCCCCGTCCAGCTCAACAGACAGCCCGGCCGGTAGGAGTGTTACGCCTGTGATTATGAGAGTTTGGGACGCCGGTTGTTGCAAAACCTACCAGGAAACCGGTACCTAGCTGAGTCGGGCGGGGAAGAGCTTCTGCAGCCTGGGGGCCCCGAAGAGAACCCGCCCCAACCGCGATAGACTGGGCCCCAGGCTATATGATATCTAGCGATTGGCCGATATTCACACGTCGCGGAGCCCCGTTTAATGTAACATGGTTGATTTTCAGGTAAGGATACGCTCGATTCATCGCGATCCGGCAAGCCAAAAATTCGGCTGAACTTCGTTGAAAGTGAAACACCATCGGAACAAAGAGCATATCCAATTCGGATGTAACTCCGGATTTCCACAAGCAAAACTACGAAAACCACGCCCTCTCCTTTTGAGCACTCGGTTCTAGCGCTGAACGGTCGCCGGCACTTGGCTTCCAGTGCTGAGGGGATATTGACAGAAAAGCTGGCGTCAGCACTGGGAACCGAGAGCTCTGGTGACATAGAGCACTGGTAAAGGAGTGCTGATGAATTTTTTTGTTCAGAAAACGGGCTGAATAGAATCCAGCTCTGAGAAAGCTTCATCACTGGAAAACCGAAAAGCGGTGCTCGACTATTTTCACTGGGCGTCCAGTGCTGGCGGAGTTTGACCGCTGAATCAGCACTGATACACCAGTGCGAAAGGCGTGACTTTCGTAGACTTGTTTTCCACAAGTTGGCATAACTTGTTGCTCACCTGTTAGAGCAAGTGCACCTGACAGGCAGTAGCACAGACCCATCAGCAACACCCAATGAAGTTCTGGTGGTCGACAGGTTTCCCATTCTGCTGCTGATTCGTGTTGTATCCTACACCGCCGCTGATGCAAACTGCTGCTCAGGTGTCCTCAAACATAAATACACATGGCGTGCTCTGCGAAAATCTCTTATCAGCTGGCACGATGGTAAAAAAATGGTAAGCCTCCTTAGCAGGCT